AGAGAGAGGGGGGGGGAGAGAGAGGGGGGGAGGAGAGAGAGGGGGGAGTGCCCTGTCGTCGCCACGCCTTGCCATCTCCAGTATAGGCTGACATTTGTGGTCCTTATCCTACCCCGCCCCCTCTCTCTATCTCCCTCTCACACACACAAGCACGCGCACACGCGTATGCGTGCGGCGGCGGCTTGGCTGAGTCATTGAGTCATTCAGGGCGACACTGTGGGGGCGGCGAGGAAAGGCGGGATTAGACTTACCGCTCGCGCTCGGTCCAATGGTGAAGCAAGTGCTCCGGCGGTGCAGAGGTGTGACGAGGACGGGGCTGCCCTCGATGGTGCCCGCCAACATAAAAGCGTCTTAGAGACTGGATCGGGTTTGGCGCCCCCTCCACGATGAGTAAGTTCATAGCCCGCGCCAAAAAATTGATTCCTTTTCCTCAGGTAGACCCGATGGACGCTGGGACGGATAACGGGTTCACCTTCACGGCACCCAACTGGCCGTCGGAACCCAAGGAGCCCGTGGCCAGGATCACATCCAAGAGGCCCAGTCACCCCGCCAACTCTTTCTACTACCCCAAGCTTGACAAACTGCCCTCCATCGCCACCCTTACCTTCGTCAAGGTAGAGGACATGTTAAGACTTTTTCCCCTGTGACTAAACTTGCTCTGGAAATGGCTTAGTAAACTTCATAACTATAACTAACCAAGCTCCGATCTGAAATAATGCATTTTTAACAACTGGCACGGCACGTTGCGTTCCAGTAGGCTTATTAACTCCTTGCTGGCCTTCTGCTTGTCAGTGGCGGTTGAGGGACGCTTTCAACTGCTCGACGCCGCGGCCCCCTCTCGCTAGTGCCTCCACTGCGGTCACCGAAGCGAACACCTCCTTCGGGCCGTCGGGGACGACCTCGTCCACCTCGAACGCAGATTCGATCACCACCACCAGCACCACCACGACCTCTGGTCCAATGGGCTCCCCGATGACGGCGTCCCCGGCCGCTGATAACGACACGTCCGAGTCAACACCTGCTCGGCAGACGAGCCCGACACTGACCTTCACCGTGGCTGAGGTCCAGGAGGCGGTCAACGGGTGCAACGACACGTGCGCGTCAGCCGCACCGAGTGGCAGCAGGCACGTCCGGGACGTGCAGGAGCGGGCCACCGCGGAAGCCGTCGGGACGACCACCGGAGGTCCCACGACGGGACGCCCAACGGAGTCCAAAACCGCGCCCTCCGGGCTCTCAACCGTCCCCAAGACCACGACATCGCCCACAACGAAGCTCGCGGCGGACCACACGACAGCGTCTACAACGAAGCCCACGACGGGACGCGCAGTGGCGTCCACAATGAAGTCCACGACGGGTCGCACAGTGGCGTCCACAATGAAGTCCACGACGGGTCGCACAG